GCTGTCTTAAGGCACCTAGAAGTCCTTTTCTGATATTTTAAATAAATTTATATAATTTTGAAATAATAAGATTATAAATTAAATATATTTTTGAATTTTTAAATTTTAATAATAGAGACAATTTATAATTAAAAAGTACCAATTGAGGGCGTTGTAGGGGTGCTAATCCTTCCCTAAACGTAACCGACCACGAATCCCTTTTTATTAAAAAGAACGAATTTTTGGTTATAAAACGCAGATCAGTTCATTTTTTTATTGATGTTTTCTTAAAACTCTTTAAAGAAAATAATTTTTAGGTATTCGACCTACCTGATCCAAAAGGTCGATGGCGACTCACAAATTATTTTCAAAATTATTTATTCACATCAATTTCCCTGCCAAGTATCATATTTCGTGCCCGGACGAAAACCGGTTACGACACTAACAATATAAAAGCTCAAACAAAGTTAAACGTGTACTAGTAATAACTTGTTTATATATGGTATTATTTGTGTGTTAACTTACATAATTCATCGTCGTATATGGGACTAACTCTTCCCAACCCAACATGCGGATCCTCTTCCAGGTAATAACCCTAGAAATATCATTTGATTTTTTTATCGCATATGTCTGAATGCTGGGGAAAGCCTCAAATATCCAAATCTACAAACAATATAATACACAAACATTAGTAATTATTAAATAATTAATTATAATTTTGGAAACATTATATATAAATTCTTACCTTAAAGGCCTAAGTAAAGCATGTTAAAGTGTATTTAGAACCATCGCCCCGCAAACTTTTTTGGTCCTAAAAGACAGACGACAACTTCTTCCAGGTAGCTTTCCATAGATATGAACCCCACAGAAACAGGTTTCATGCATTTAGGTCCTCTACCAATAATATTAGGTCCTCAGAGATAGGTTGTCTGCCCTCTTTGCCTAAAAAACCGGCATGTAAAAGTAATAAATGGCATACTCGGACAACATCAAGGTCATCCATCCGAGTAAAACCATCTTTAAAAAATAATCTCTTCAAGTCATCGACGTGTAAACTCGGCTTCGACTTTGCCAGCTCAGGAAAAACCTGAGATAACCATGATAGGCGGGAGATATGACTAGTGTACGGGTTACATCATCGTGTCCGAAGCGTAGACCAGTGATTAAGCAAAACTCCTCCCGCCCAAAACAAGTATACGCCGGAGGAAAATGAAACCATATCTCTTCATCACCACGTTGAATCCTCTCGGGTAGATCGTCAGTCATGGTCTGAAGCAAGTATACAACGTTAGATATACCAAAAACTACAAATTTCTTTGTAGAGGTGTAAGCGTCGACGCAATTTTAGTGGCTCTGCTTAATTTATTCCTTAAGGTCAATGCAGTCGAAAAAAATTTCTACAAAAATAATAAACATACAAAGTTAGATATACCAAAAACTACAAATTATACACTATAAACAGACATGATATTAAACAGCGAAAACAAAGCCAAATATGTTTCAAACTAGCACAGTATTCACCCAAGTCATTATTCCATCATAGTTCACAAAACATCAGATAACATTCCAAAAGTAAGCACTTATATAAACATTTAAAAGGACAACATATAGGTTTAGTGCAGGTTCAAGGACAACATAAAGAGTAGTAGTTTATTCTTGAAACTTAAATTCACAACACTGTGAAGTTAGTATTTGTCTTTGTTTTTTGGTTGAAGTAATGCATTTCATTCAAGTTTCAATTTGCAGAATAAGAGTAGTTTTTGAAACTTAAATTCGCAATGCGAAAATGAAAATCACAACGCGAACATGAAAATCGCAACGCGAAAATTAAAATCGCAACGCGAAACTAGAAAATCGCAACGCAAATATCGCAATGCGAACATGAAAATCGCAACACGAAAATAAAAATCGCAACGCGAAACTAAAATCGCGTTGCGATTTTCATTTTCGTGTTGCGAATTTAAGTTTCAAAAACTATTCTTCTACAAATTAAAACTTGAATGAATTGTATTTCTTCAACAAAAAGACAAAACAAAGACAAATACTAACTTCACAAGGCAGTATTGGCAGCAACCGAATGAATTTACTAAGCAATCTAAGTGAAATGATTATAGATTATATATTGAAATTACCAGTAAATTTATCATCAATATCAGAAAAATCTAATAATAATAATACAATAATTTCAAAATAAAAATAAGAGATTAAACTAACCCTCGGTGGTTAATTTTCCATTTATGGCCGTGAATGGTTGTGAGGGTTGCTTTGAGAGATGGAGATAGACGGATTTCGCCGGAGATGGGAAAGGATTTCGTCGGAGATGGGGACGGATGTCGCCGTAGAGAGTGAGAGATGGAGATGTGATTGAGTTGTGATTTAGGGTTTTAGGTTATGATTTGCGATAATACTGTTTACATTTGTGTTTTTCAATTAATATTGTGTTTTGAATTCGAAAATAAAATTCGCGTTGCGAAAATAAACGCGCTTTGCGAATTTGACTTCTGTGTTGCGAATTTGACTTTTGTATTGCGAATTTGACTTCTGTGTTGCGAATTTAACTTGTGTTGTGAATTTGACTTTTGTGTTGCGAATTTGACTTCTGTGTTGCGATTTATAAATTCGCGTTGCGAATTTGGAAACTAGGTTACGAAATAGGAGTTCGCGTTGCGAATTTGTTGGTCATTTTTGCAAATCCAAAAAAAGTTGGTTAAAATCGTATATTATAAGGCATTTTCGGTCACTGAGGTTATTTTCTCTAAAAAGTATATATAAAAAATTTGTATTCTTTAGCAGAATATTTATTTATCATAATTTTTTTATTAAGCTAAAGTGATTATAAAGTAGTATGATATGTTCTAAATACTCTTAATTATTTAATAATGAACATTAAATCACCCTGCTGCAATCGTTGGTATTCGAATCTATGACCTATAGGAATAATAACGATCCCTTTAACCATGAGGTAAGATGGTTTGTGCATTTATCATAAATTTATTAAATAGATATGTTTGACGTAAAGATGATGTATCATTTTCGTATACTATCAATAAATCATATCATATGATAATATTTCATAAAAATAAATTTAAATATATTTTTTATGATCTATTACAGTCTAATTCAACAACAACAATATGAAATTATATATGCCACAACAACAACAATATGAAATTATATATGCCAATGGATGAAATGAAAATCTTTATCACAAACCAAGAAACCTCGGTGATAAAAGAATTGTTGTTATTCTTTGAGGTTATAGGTTCGAGCACCAGGAATGTCAGTTATACGAACGTTCAAAGTCAAATGATGGAGAGTTATCTATAAACAGATATTACCCTGTATTTATCCTATATTGTTAAAAAAAGTCTTTACTAAATATAGATAATTAATGCATATATTGGACGAAGTAATGCCTCAACGTGCGTGCATGGCAACTAGGGCTAATTAGGGGGTCTAGGGCAAACTAATATAGAGAAAAATCTTAGAGAATCAAGTCGAGGCCACCATCGTCATCACCATGCAAGTTGCACAAAAAAATAGAAAAAATAGAAACCCTAAAAGCGCCATGGCTGACCTTTGAGAGTGGTGAGGCGAGTTTCTACGTGAATGTCTGTTAGTCACACAAATATTCACGTGAACACAGGCCCCAACAACAAGGCTCCCCTCTATACCTCCATGTATAAATACTTTATGTTATACATAGTTTTGACCCAAATCTTTATCAACCAACAGTCAATAACAAAACAAGTGTGTGTATAATATATTTGGATATAAGAAAATTAGGATTCTAATAGAGACTTCTTCTACTCCTTCATACAAGTAAGACATATGCATACTTTTTTCCATTAAAAAGTTCATAACTTTTGTATATATATGACTAAACACTTTCCTTCAATCAGTTTTTATATTAAAACCTCAAGTAGGGTTTAGAACAAATATATATATATATATATATATATATATCATTTATATAATGTAATTTTTTTAAAATTTGTATATTTTTAGATTGTTGTATTAATTGAATTAAATAATTAAGATTAATGTTTTTAAATTTGAGGTTAATATTTTTTTATAAATATCTATTTATTTTTTACTATCAATCTAAATTATTCATTTTCACTCATCCAACTATTCAAAAAAACAAATGAAAATTAAAAGTTTTCATCGTGTCAACGAATCATACCTCTCGATTCTATGTATATATGTTGTACATCCTCATTGTTGGTCCTCCACCTTTTGAGATCTTTAAAGTCAAATATCTTCTAGACGACTACAATCCCTTGATGTAGTTACTGGACAACCCACGTGATATATCGTGGTCAAATCTGATATCTGACAGTCATATTCTTTAGTTATATTAACTTACGAATAATCACCATCCACCTAAATTTAACATCAACGCTAAAAATCAGTGTATACATCAATATATATAATTGGAGAAAGAATTTTTTTTTATTAATAATTTGAGTTTACAAAATTTTCAGCAGCGCAACATTGATATCGATATATATATATATATATATTAACAATGATTTTCTTTTAACATTTTTATTCATAGTTATTTATCCAATTTATTTATTTTAATATTATTTAAGGATATATATTAGGGGATTGAGGTGACTTGAAGAGTTAAAAAATCCAATATTAATGTATTAAATAATAATATTTAACATCAAAAAAGATTTTGGCCAATTGGTCTCTGGTTGATAGTAGGTGGATTTGGGATCGTATTAGAGAAAGGAAATCTGAGGTGAGTTGATATAAAATTGTTTGGTTTCGAGGTTACATTCCTAAGTATGTGATCATCGCTTGGATGGTGATTTTGGAAACGCGACCGATACTGCGATTTGAAACCCTGAAATGCATTAAGGATACGATAACAGTCAAATTGTATAGTTTAAATATAGATAGGGGTGATAATATTAACAGAAGGTTGTGCATGAACTGGGGATTTTCTAGTTCCCTGGTTGTGGTTTCATTGGTGTGGGTTGATTTGTAGTCGCAGTTGTCACACTCTTTTCCTGTGATAAATGAAGCAATTGATTTATCCAAAAAATAATATTTAACAATTAAATATAAAGTTAAATTGTGGATTGAGTCCTAATTCAATTGGTACTTTACAACCATAAATAGTTATATTTTTTTGACACTGGAATTTTTAAAATTAATTTTTATATTTTTATTTAAATATTTAAAAAATCAAAGCGTTGAAGATATCTTATTTAATTTGGATCACGATTTTATTTTTCAATAAATGATCTCTAAAATCTCGTGAGCTTAGTCATACCTCAATCGTTATCAATGAATCGGCCACTTGATTTTTGTTGCTAAACGCATTGATCCCAATAGGTCATTGGACTGGTGGGGGTGGGGTGACCAAGTCATTGAGCCTGTGACACTTAAATTTACCATTCTTACAAATCATTAATCAATCATTATAAGGTCATTATCCCCTAAAAATACCACAAAATGATGATTACCGCCCATTGTTTTCTCTATTTGAAAAAGAAAAGAAGAAAGAAAACCATGGGAGACAGTGAACACTATAGGGTCTGATTGTTTCCCGTAATTGGAATTACGGAATTGGTTTTCCCTGAATTTTCGTGTTTGTTTCACGTAATTTGTTATCCGGAAAATATTTTCTCGTATTTGTTTCACGTAATTCATTTTCCGGAAAATGTTTTCCTGTGTTGTTTCACGTAATTCTTTTTCCGGAACGTAATTCATTTTCCTAGTAACAGAATTTCCTTTGTGTTTTCTGAAAAATGACTTACGTATTCATTTTCCGTAAGTTATTTTCTAAAATTTTCACTTCAAAGAATAAATACTCAAAATAATTTTATTTTATGAATTTAATATTAAATAAAATATTTTAATATCATTTTCATCAAAACATTATTTATTAATTTATTAATATTTATAATAATATAATATTATATTTTTAATATTATATAAAATAATAAATTATATTATAATAATATAAGATATGATATTTTTATTTTAATAATATATAATAAAAAAATTATATATTTAATAATGAATAATATTATTTATATATTTAAATAATATTTTAATAAAGATATTTAAAATATACTAATTAATATTTTTAAAATATAATATAACACTATTACTTTAATAAATAATTTATAATATTTTTATTTCACTAAAATATACAAAAATTAATATTTTTGTTAATAAAATTATAAAAATACTATTTAATAATAAATAAATTATTTTTAATAATAAAAAAGTTTTATGATAAATAATATTATTTATTGTATTTAATATTTGCAATAAATAATTTTTAAAAAACTCTTCAACTAGTGGAAAAAAAGGTTTAAATAACATCTTTCAAACATCATAAAATGTTTTCCAGATGTTTTTCAGAAAAATGTAATTCATTTTACGGAAAACATTTTCCGGAAAACGTTTTCCAGAAATGTAATTCATTTTCCAGAATTCAAATTCCAGCAATTCAAATTCCAGTAATTTATTTTCCGGAAAACCAATTACAGCCAAACAAACAGACCCTAAGTTGTATCCACTCCCAGTAAGCTAATTTAGCAAGTATAAATAGGGATGGGCATTGGTCGGGTTGGGTCGGGTTTTTGGTCCACCCGACCCTACCCGAGAACAAGAGAGCCTCCACCCGACCTGAATATATGACATAGAAACCCGACCCGACCCGACCCAAATATATGACATAGAAACCCGATCCGAAATAATAAAAAATTATTTTTATTCAATAAAAATAGTGACTTAATTGAAAAAAATTATATATAGATGGGTATTATTGTAATTATCCTTAAATATATAGGGTAAAATTATATTTTTTTTGGGGTTGGGTCGGGTTGGATTTTTTTTACCCTAAACCCGACCCGATATAATCATCCCTAAGTATTCAAATTTAATATCAAATTTAATTGCCCATCCCTAAGTATAAATTTAATTCAAACTATCATATTCAAAACTTTAGTTTAATTAAAAATTAATATCAAATTTCTTCGAAAAAGCTCAATAGTGATCCCATATAATCATAGTTTCTTTTATTGAAATCGGGACGATGATCGTTGGTCTTTAAAATTTTTAAATTGTACATCTTTTAATTTTTTAATAATACAAGTTTAATGATCGTTTCACCGAAAATATCTCGAATTTTACAAATCTAACGTAGAACTCTTTGATTCCCTCGTTCTAACTTCCCCTAAATGTTCATCGAATCATGTTGGCTTCAAACTAAATAACTTCAAATGTTGAATGAAGTGGAAATAATTATTACAGCAATATGAAGGAGATAGATGAAAAGTAACAGCAGTTAATGACTAAATAACTAAATTATAATAAATTGATGATATGAGTGAGTGAAATATAAAATTTAAAATGTTAATAGTAAAAACTGAATAACATCCAAATCAAAGTGACCAATATGTCAATTTACCATAAAAAATATAAAGTTTCAGAAGGTGCACTTGAATCACTAGGTTCCTCACTAGTCCCGTATCAATGAACAGAACAGAGAATAATAAGAAACTGACACTATTTTACGGTCTTAATATACAGTTAAAAAATTATTATCGATTTTATTATTATTTAAATAATAAAATTGGTAAAAATTACTGGAAATATTATTATTTCTATCGGTTTTGTTATTTTTTTCTATCGGTTTTATTATTATTGGATACTTTACCAGAAATATTAAAAAACATTGATATTTTAGGTAGAAATAATAATGTTTTAGCTAATTTTTTACTGATTTTGTTATTTAAATAATAACAAAACCAGTAACGATTTTTTAATTATATATTAAGGGTATCGCACTGTAAAACTTCTCTGATTTTTCTAATAAAACAATAATATAATCAGATTGAAAATTAGAAAATTTTAATTAACTACAAATAACGAAGATGCTCGAACACAACTTCCCACAAGGAAATTAATGAGACCCTGACATTAAAATTTTAGGATATTTTTTAAACCTAATGTGAGAGATTAATAGATATGGTATGAATCGAACAACTTCAATGGTAAAAGAATTATTGTTATTTTTTGAGATATCGATATCAACATCAGAAATATCAAGAGTGTAAATATTTAATATCAAGAGTGTAAATATTTAAAATCAAATGATTCAGAGTTATCTTTAAATAAATATTATTTTATATTTACTTCAAATTAATAAAAATAATAATATTGAAATATGTAGCTTCGAAGAAACCCGAAACCTTATCAGTATTCTAAAATATTCGTCACTCTTGCATTAAATGACCCATCACATGATTCCAAACTTCTTTTCACGTCTTTGAGAATAAAATAAATTAATTCAAATTCTTGTTTTTGTTTTTGTTTAAATAATTATTTAAAAGAATAAACTTTATCTTATAGCATGTAATAGAAGAGATAATGAAATTTAAGGAAGAATTTGAATTAGAATATTATTATTCGTAAAAAAATATATTACTTTTGTTTTGCTTAAAAACATTATAAATATTACCATAAGATTGCATTAAAATGCTTAAATATATTTTTGAACTTCCCCACTTTTATCCGATCTTACCATGCAAAATGATAAACGTTTATTCATTTATACCAAAAACCCTAGAGCTCTAGAGTCTAGAGAAGAGAGGCAGAGAAAAAGAAGCCCTTATTGCTGTTTGGATACTGTGAAAAATATTTAAAAACATGAGAAGATTTAAAGAGAAAATTAAGTTACTCAGGGAAGCAAAAAGAAACAGACATCTTCGGCATCTAAGATAGAGTAATTACCGATGCATGTGTGAATTAAATGAGCTTCGTAAACAATGAATTTTGGTTCATTTTTCCAGAATCTGTGATGATTCGGTCGTAATTAAAGTTTATTGTCTTTTATCATCGGTAATCTCACTGTTGGGGTTGGTGTTTTGTGCATTGTTCATCTCTGCGCACCCCCACTCATTTTAAATTAGTATTTGAACTTTTGAGGTCCTGTGAATACACATGAATACTAAAAGCTACAATATAATACTTTGGAATGGATCATGGAAGTCCTGGTATAATAGTGCTCCTAGAACGGCTCAAGCTACTAACCTACGAACGAAAATATTCGAATATTGAGCTTACAAAGTTCAATAGTATAATCATTAATTTAAAGTAACATTATGAGTTTCATAAATATAAGCATGTTAGCATATATGGTAACAAGCAATAGGTGTATGCACGATCATAATCAAGTGCTACCTACTTAAGGTTCAACTGTTTTATCACTATAGTAAGAGTCTCGTGCTTTCCTTAGTCCTCTGCTAAGGGTCTCGCCATGAGTATACTTATATTTGGGTCTCTAACAATAATATTATACAACTATACACTCTCGAATGCAACACACAACATAACATTAGTACCCGGTCTTACACAACCATCAAATACTAATCTTAAACGAGGGAACTCAATATCATATAAGCCTCGGTAAAATTCCTACTAAACTACTAAATGATCTCCTGATCCTCATAAAGTCCTTAAGCATTAAGGATATCCACAATACAATACTAATGAAATCGTACATGCATATCTGGGTGCCTGAAGGCCACACACAACAATCAATGTCACACCAGGGCAACTAAGGTAGCTTAATTACTCACTAGCATAGGTCAATCACACTCAAGTGAAGTCATCCCCTCACTTAATACTATCTCACTCGTTCTCTCACCTAAAACGTCCCACAAGAGTTTATTGATCTTTTACATCTATTAGCTCATTAAAACACTATATTATAGTCATTTAACACTTAAGGGTGTTTTAGTCATTTTGTCTCTAAGGAGCTCTCTCAGTGATATATGATTTTAAGAAAATTAATGTTTCCGCTACTTAGTTGGTGTATTATTTGCTAGCCTAACATTCAACTTAAGTTCATTACTTGGTAGTAACACTCTAGTCGTTCTCACCACACTTCCTCTTAATTTATCCTTTAATTGGAAGAATGATTTGCACGTACTCAGTTTATCGGCGTTCACGTAGTACACGATTTCTCTATTACGCTATTCACATGGTTCTTCATCCCTCTCAGCACATCCTTCATAATGATTAATCGTCCGCGATTACTTGATACATTTTCAATCTAGGGGTACATAGGAGTATTCTACTCACTAAGATTATTTTAGTCATTATTCACTTCTAAGAGTGCTTTTAAGCCACTTTTAACCCTTTAAGCCTCTCTCAGATTAAATTCCCCCATTACGTGCCATCTCTCGTTCTTACGGGCCTTAACGAAATCGAATTTAACCATCCAAAATATATAGTATCAATACCCTATATATAGTATCGATACTCCATGGTCAAGTATTGATACTCCCTTGAGTATCAATACCAAAAATAACTTCGAAGCACCACAAATTACCCTAGTATCGATACTGGCACCCTCAGTATAGATACCAGAAGAGTAATATCAATACTCCCCTTTTAAAATGTCTATAAATCATCTTAATTCATTTAGTATCGATATTTTTCATCCAATATCGATGCTTAAACCAAAAATGTCTTATTTAAGCTCGAGAAACACTCAAGAATCCTCTCAAACACTCTAGTTTGGTCCCAAATAAACTTTTAAAGCTTAAGGAAGTTATTTAGAGTTAGTTAGCACCATAAAAACACTAGATATTTAAAATTAGATTTATAGACTATAAATGAAATTAAATATTAAAAAAATTAAGAATTAATTTGCAATTAACTCTAAAGAAGGTTGACAATCTTTGTGCTAAACATATGGTATGTAGTTTTTTCTATAACATTTTTTTAACAATCTTTATACTCTGATCCTATCCCACTTCCTACAAACATCGATGCTCAAATTCGAGACGTAAAAAAAAGGATTATCCTAAATTAATGAGAATATTCAATAAATTATTCTTATAGCATTCTCAAAGGTAGTGGTAATGTAGTATGTTTTTTTTCGGTTTCAAACCCATTTTCCCACCCTAAAAATAGCCTAATCCTATGCAAAACTTGGACTTCTCAAAACTTTAATATCAATCTAATGGGCCAAAATGAATCATTCTTCTAAAGGACCAAATCTAACAAACCCACATTCTCATTCATCATAGATTTAATTTTAAAATATTTTTTTTGATAGAAAGCAATTTTAAAATATTTTTAATAAATAAATGAGATATATGATATTTTATTATATCTCAGTTATGAAATTTTAAAAATATAATGTTAATAGTTAATCCATCAAAAGAAAAGAAAAATATTATTTTTGAGAAATACAATAAAAAAAAGATAGAAATAGTGCTTTTGAAAAAGTTTGATTTGATATTTAACAGTTTAATATTTCTATTAAAATATAATTTTGAGAAGACAAATGATCATTTAAACACATTATTATAGATTAAATAATATAAATTCAAATGATAGAATAGTATTTTAATATTGTAATATATATATACTAAAAATAAATTTATAATGATGATATGTGTTCCATAAATATATATAAAATTAAAACATTTATCCAATTAAAAAATTAATTCAATGAGATATAAAATTTTTAAATCTACAAATAATTTATTAATTGTATAATTGCTCTAATTATAATATTAAATTTTAATTTTAACTTCAATCATGACGAGGATAAATAATTTTTTCATTGTGATGATTGGGCAAAAAAAATCATTTTGAATGAGTTTCGTGAAAAATCAATTATAAGAGAAGAACAAGGAATAATATGTGAACATTTTGATATTAATCTTATTACAAAATAATTATCGGCGATTGATGGAATTTCATTGCCTACGACTATAAAAAATACAATGCTTAAAATAAAATTGTTTAAAAATTAAGTGACAAAATTAATAGACCGTTGGAATTCAATGTCTAAAATGATGTTGTTTTAAGTATAAAAAATCACAAAAAAAATAATAATATTTTGTCCATGTTATCACGTCATTTGGATTTTAATGATGTAATGATATGATTGAAGCTAAAATTACAATTTAGTGTTATTATTGGAACAATTAAAAGTTTAATGATATAAATAATACATCTACTAAAATTCAGTGATCTATTGTGTAACTTACCTTATAAAAACATATAAAATTTTAGGATAAATTACACACTTACTCATTGAACTTTACTCTTTCTCCTATTTTACTTACCATATTTTATTTTTTTCAATTTACTCATTAAATTTTAGACGAATTTTTTTTGTAACTCCAACTTTACTCAAATAACAGCTGGATGAAGTGAAATTATTTAATATTAAAAAGGTCATATCATATATGCCACATCAGATTCTTAATAAATAATAAAGTTAGCCTCCATTTTTTTCACTCCTCTCTACAAGAATTCAACCTTTCTTTTCCTCTAACAATGCTCTCTTCAACCTCATTCAAATCTATCGTCAATGCCAAAACTTTCTTCTTCTTCTTTCATTTTAATCTAAACTCCATCTGTTTTATCCTCTCATCTCCCTTTCTCATCTTCAAAAAACCTCTCCTAAAACCCATCTCAACCGCACTTATCCCTCACTTTCCAACCTCAACAAATCAATCGGCGTAAATTAAAGATGGGATTAAAGTTGTGGTTAGATTCATTAATAAGGTAAAATTAGTGTTTTATTAGATGTTGATAGAACGATGGGAGTAAAATTGGGGTGAAGAGGTATAACGACGATAGTCGAAGGGTAACCGGAAAGGAAATGATGTGTTAGAAAGATTGATGGAATCGGTCCGAGTTACCCACGACGGCTGTAATAGTATTCACGACGGCCGTAATAGTACCTTCGATGACCGCAATCATGGTAAAATCAAAATAACCGAAAATACGACCGCGATTTGAAACTTTAATCCATAATAAACCAAAAATTTAGATAATTGATAACAAATTCACAGAATCTCTAGCAAACAAAATGAAAGTCCAAAAATCAAAAAAATAGGCACCACAAAATCAATATCAAAAGAAAACAAAAACTTAAATTTCATTGAAGCTTCTTGCCTTCTTCATCTACAGATCCGTGAACCTTACCCATGGTGAATAATTGCCAAAATACTTCTCTTTGGTTGCTTGTAAATAAGGACACAAGTACCTAAGGCGTGAACCACCTCGGCAACAACAAAAAGGTTGTTGTGATCTTCTTCAACCATTCTCAAGAACAAGATAGTCACCATGCCTGACAGAAGGGCCAAAAATACCTTCATCTTCGATGACTGTCATCGGACCCAGAAAGTGGCCAAGAAGATCGAACTCTTGGTCTTCATTTTTGAGGTAGGAAGAGAGTAGATCACAGGAATAGAAAAGTGACTAAGAGAAGAAATGAGTTTAGAGGAAGAAAGAAAAGGGGAATGAAAAAAAACTTAAAAAATAATTTAATTTAATTGCTTTTTTGATATGAAATTTAATGGTTAAAATAATTTAATTTATCCACGTTATACTATTACACTTTTAATGGCTGTCTGATAAAAAAAAGTTTAATGTCTAAAATTTAGTGAGTAAATTAAAAAAATTAAAAATATATCGAATAAAATAAGAGATAAAGTAAAATTTAGTAAGTAAACGTATAATTTACTCAAAATTTTAAAACACGTGGCGCCTTAAAGCTTTATACAGAAAAAGGTAAGTTTTCCACGTGTAAACTGTAAAATTTGCTGTAAAATGACAAGTAAAGGAACGCATATGTGCCAGTTTAGATAGAGATCTTAATCAACACCGTCGAAAATATGGAACTAATTTTTAATCCAAATGTACTCTAGATCAACGTGTAGAAACAACTCATACCACGTAACTACAGTACACGATCCGCATGGAATTATAAGTGTCGGTTCGAAGTTCGAACCCATAGCTTTCCTTTTCAGTTAAGTTTAAACCCCTCTAGTTCTCTCCAGATAATTTTTCAAACAAAGGTCGCTGAATAAAATTAGCCATGGCAGACTTGGCAGTTGTTTTGTTGCTGTTTTTAAGGTTATTTTCAAATTCAAAAGCTGATGGAGATTTCGATGTTCGTCGACATCTCTCTACTGTAACCAGGTCTCTCTCCTTGAGTCGTAATTTCATGATCTTTATTATTATTTTGAGTATTTCTTTTGTAATTGTTTTTTTTGGGAGCAGATATGGTGCCGTGAAAGATATTGTTGACGATTTGTTTATACCGTCTGACATCCCTAATGGATGTACTCCTATACACTTAAATCTCGTGGTAATTTTTTCTGTTTTCTTGAAATTTGAATTTCTAATTCTTCGTGATAGCTAGAATTGATGTTGATATGGAGTTCTTATAAAGTAGATGTAGATTCGGTATTTGGATTTTATAGTTGGATAAAGTTTGTCAAGATTGCGACTGTCTTTTTATAAAATTTAGAATAATTATTCTTTAATAATATGCCCTCATTGAACCGATACGCGAAATTTTGGATAAGTGTTGTGCAATGTTGAGAATTCTAGCTTTATTGGCCATCTTTAAGCTTTTCTGTTGAATTGACTGATGTTATATTGTGCAAAACATAGTAGCAACTGTTTGAGATTGCTTGTTATTCATTGGACTGCCTTTTGAGACTCACCGTTTTCTTGAGATTTCTAACATGGTTGTTTGTTACTTGTCGAATGCTTAAACTCTGCTATCATGGGATTAGGAGCAAAAAGTAAAATTAATCGAGATTTAAATTTTTTTAGGCAAGGCATGGAACACGTTCTCCTACTAAGAAGCGGATGAGAGAGTTGGAAAATTTGGCTTCTCATATAAAGGAAATTATAAAAAATGCCAAAGAGAGGAATTTGTCCTTACAAAAGGTCCCTGCATGGTTTCATAAATGGGAGTCTCCTTGGAAAGGAAAACTGAAAGGTGGAGAGTTGGATATCAAAGGAGAAGAGGAAATGTATCAGCTTGGCATCAGTGTTAGGGAAAGATTTCCTGATTTATTTAATGAGGAGTACCAACCTGATGTGTATCCCATTAAGACTACTCAAGTGAGTTCTTTGTTTGAAATTTTATGTACCTTTATACAAATGCTTTTTTAATAATTTTTTCATCTTGATTCCATCCAATTTTTTTTTCTGATTTGGAATTCTGGTGTAACATTTGGATGTTACTCCACGCCTACTTTTTTCCCCATCTCTGAAGATGGCCTTAATCTTTATTTTTTTTATTCTTTATTTTTTTTGTTTATATATTTAATTAGAATTTCCTTCTTAATTTGTGGGAAAGGTTCCTCGGGCTTCTGCAAGTGCAGTCGCATTTGGCATGGGGTTATTTAGTGGCAAAGGAAGTCTAGGTCCAGGTCGTCAACGAGCTTTTGCTGTTACAAGTGAAAGTCGAGCAAGTGACACAGTCCTAAGGTTTTTTGATTGTTGTCAAACCTACAAGGTATGGAGGATGTCTCACCCTTATTATTTAAGCACCGAGACAATCATAGTTTCTACATTTATGTATTTCTATTTTTTTTTTCCATATTGCTATAATGTAAGAAAATTATCTGAGACTTTAAGTTGGTTAAGCAGTCATTTTGTTGTTCCTAATCGTTTTTTACATTTTACACATAATCAACTGCTCTATCTTTCAGTCTTATATAACCATCAACTTTTGAATGATGATTCATTTTTTTTTCTGTAATTTAATTGATTTCCATTTTTATTTGCTTATTTAAACTGAATATACGGGTGCAGAATGTTAGGAAAAAACAAGAGCCTGCTTTTGATAAGCTGAAAGAACCTATCCTTACTGAGATTACCTCTTCACTACTCAAGCGGTATGAGTTCAATTTTACAAGACAAGATATATCCTCTCTCTGGTTTCTGTGTAAACAGGTACTCATTTTCTTTTCATTTAAATTTGTAGTTCATGCCCTGTTAGACATCAGGAAGCTCGAATATTTGATCATTTCAATTTTTTGGTCTTTGATTTTCAATGTGGTAGGAAGCATCCTTGTTGGATATGACCGATCAAGCTTGCAGTCTTTTCAGTCCCGCTGAGGTATTTCATTCTCCATTATGCTTTTTGAAAATAAACAGCTTTGTTGGAGTAGGATCTGTTCATTTAAAAGGTTGGGGATAGTTTGTTTGCATACCTCTTCACTTTTCAGATTCAAAATACCCTTATATGAAGGGCCATAACCATTTCTCCAGAATATAGGCATTCTGTCAAAAATAATGATGCTGTTATTGTATGCTAGACGCATACACCATCTCTAAATGTAGTCAATATAAGTTGCAGCCTAAACTTAAATATCCATTTGCTGATCTCCACATCCATGAATACATTGAGATTATGACTTCATTAAGATAGGCATCATGTTTGTTTAGATAACTGTATTTGTTGCCTAAGTAAATATTCAGGAAAGCTGAAACAAGATCCTTAGTCTGATGGAAGTCTATCATTTATCCTTATATTTGTCATGCTAATTCAGAAATACGTTTGGTTAATCTTGTTCTCTCCCATGTGGGGATTTTACCTTCAAAAGCTGTCTAAATGTTTAGGTTGCTTTGCTGGAGTGGATGGATGATTTACAAATGTTCATAGTTAAGGGTTACGGTAAATCATTAAATTATAGAATGGGAGTGCCCTTGCTTAAGGATGTTGTGCAATCCATGGACGAAGCTATCAACGCTAAAGAAGGTAATTTTGGTATTAACTTGTGATTGTACAGTCTTTATATGTCAAGAAGTAAGCAATGTATGACCATTCTTTAATTGGCTATGAATTTCTCTCACTTTGTCTTACTGTGATGCTGTTCTCTCTTGTTATTGCAAAGGCTGAAAATTCACATTTTCAACTATTATGTTATACCATGTGAGCATATGTATTGCATAATTAATTGACCTCTTCTATCTCTAACTTTTCCTTTCTAATTTTTATTCTATAATCTAGAAAATAAAATAGGGGGAAATCACGAGCATTAGGATCGTTCCTTGAGAAATTGCTGAACTAAAGTAGATTAGACATTTTCTCGTGATTATTTCTTACTAATATACAAGACAAAAGGCTGCTTTATTGGCTCGTTTTCAATCTCGACTTCCAATATTTTCCTCATGTGCAGGTAACCAAGTACCTGGCAGTTATGAGAAGGCAAGACTTCGTTTTGCACACGCAGAAACTGTGGTTCCTTTTACATGCTTGCTCGGGCTTTTCCTCGAAGGATCTGGTCTGTGTTCTCATCCTTACATTGTTGCATCAAGCGAGAGTATGTGCATCTGTGTAAAGGTTTTTACTATATTCTGATAGTTTGGCCTTATCTGGAAATTGCAGATTTCGAAAGGATACAAAAGGAGGAACCTTTGGATTTCCCTCTTAAGCCTCCCCAAAAGAGAAAGTGGAGAGGCAGCACTGTGGCACCTTTCGCTGGGAACAATATGCTGGTCTTATATAACTGTCCGGCTAATTCTTCAAGCAAATACTTTGTGCATGTTCTACACAACGAGCATCCCATCCCGATGCCCGTAAGCAAAAGGCGATTTTATTTCCGTCTCTTACCTACTTTCGCATTTCTTGTCACTGATTCTTCTTTATCTCATCAATAGGGTTGTGGCGGCACCGACTTCTGTCCATTTCAAGTTTTCAAGGTACCATAACCATACATCCATCTTCTACAATTATAAACAAAACTACTTTCTCCTAACAGGTGTGAGTTTCGTTTCCAGGATAAAATTGTCCAACCCCATTTAAAGCACGACTACGATACCCTTTGCAATGCCAATCTCGACCAGCCTCAGCCAAAGCCTGAAACCGGTAAGTTATCGCAACTGTTCCGTTGGCTATTCGGGTGGGGAAACGATGATACATCGTGCCACAGAGTCGAACTGTAGACTTGCTTCTCATGAATAAATATATTTGATAGTATATAAATATGTTAAGATTTATATTAATTCACTTTATTTATGGAGTTTCAATAATAATATTTTAGTTCATTAAATTCGAGTTTTTATTTATACTTTTGTATTATAAATATTAAAATTTCAATAAATGATTATAAGATTAATATTTATTAACTCAAGTGTAACTAAGGGGCTGTTTGTTTACTGCTAAATGGAATCGTTCAGCGTTAAATGTTGAACTGTTTAGCATTCAGCGTGTTTGATTCTCATCTCTGAATGAAGATTATGCTGAATGGAATAGCAAAACACTGCTGAATGATTCAGCATTAAAGTACATTCTGAATCATTAAGCATCCAGTATTTTACCATAATACATATTTTTCACATGTTGTCTTATTAACAATCATATCTTATAATATAATAAATCATTATAAAGGTAAAAATGAAAATATTCATAATTTAGATTGTATATTCAGAATCATGATTAAACAATATGTCATTTTCAGAGTCAATTTACACAGAGCCTTTGAATCATTCAGGTTATTGAATCATTCAGCGGTTAATCATTTTATTTTATCAAACAGTCCCTAAATGTCACATAAATGATAAATGGTTTGTTCATTGAGAGATAAAAATGCATGTACACTCGCACGAATTGACTTACTTTAGTAGAATCGTTGTTTTTAAATGTTACGGGTTCGAGCACTAACGATTGCAGTAGGGTGATTGAACGTTTATTGTTAAATGATTAGAGTATTTAGAATATATATTACTTTGTAATTACCTTAACTTAATTAAAAGAAATTGTACATATACCGAAATAAATGTGAGTTGATAGGCTTGGTCGAACTAAAATAATTTGAAAATTTTGATCATAATAATATGTAATTATCAAATGTTATTTTAATATTCTTCAGTAGAACTTTTTAAAAGTAGGTTTGCTTGGATCCGATCAAGCTTAGAGCGACTGTCTCACACTTAACAGTTTTGGCCAAATTATGTTTTTAATCATTGTATCATGTTTATATTGAGGATCTAGTCCCTTTATCCCATTTTGGCCTTTATATTTTTCAAATCATTAAATTTTAAATTTTATTCTGAATGCATAAAAAATAGTGCAATTGAATTATAAAGATTAAAATATTAGGTTAGATAATGATTTTATAACTAATTTATCTTAAAAAGTTTTTTAATTTACATTTTTTTCCAAACACCTTATTGCCTTCACTATATTTGAATCACGCTCCTCACACAACGAAAAACACACTTAAACAATTAGGAACACTTCTCTTACTATTTGTTACAACCATACTTAAAAAAAATCTAAAAGTCTAAAACTATCTTTAGCTGTAATACCAATCTTCGGAACTCAGTGTTTTTGTTCCTATCTTGCAGTGTTGCATTGGAATAGAGTGCTTATTGGTGTACTCTATTCTCTCTTTAGCATTTGATTTTTGGTTCATGAATTACTAGTTATCTAAAATATATAATAAAATAAAAAAAATAACGGAATGATTCACTCTTTTTTTGCAACAAAAAAGAAGGCAATTTATTGTCTAAATATAGATGTTTTGTTTAAGTTTGGTCGAAAAAAATACCAAGGAAACTACTCTTAATTGTTTAAGTGTGTTTTTCATTTCGTAAGGAATGTGGTTCAAATATAATGGAGGTGGTGGGATGTTTGAAAAAAAATGAAAATTAGAAAGCTTTTAGGGTAAATTAGATATAAAGTCACTTTTCAAGAACCTATTTGATGTTTTAGCAGTAGTTTAGGGGTAAAATGAAATTGTTGAACCATGCTTTGTATTTTGATATACCAAAAATGTATATTTTTAAAGAAATTTTAAGATTATTTTTGAATTGATTTTCAAGCTTATATTCGATTAAATCGTTCTAATATTGAAATTCTTTTCAAGGTCAAAAACTCAATTTTTACTCCTTACTCTTTTGAAAAATTAAAGTCATATACTGTAAATAATTTTCAAACACAATTTTACAAAGAGTTTCGAACTTTAATCGAGTCAAAATTTGATTTTAAACCCTACAGTACTGATATTGCAAGAACAGTATCGATACTGCTCATTTAGTACCGATACTCTGGATGAAAGTACTGATACTCCCTTTGTGGTTTTGAAAAAAAATAGGTTTTTTTGCTAGAATTGAATGAGATGATATAAAAACAAGATTTCAAGTCATATGTGAAGAGAAGAAATAAAAAAAGAAAGCCAAAGCAATCACATTGAGCCAAAATCAAGTCAACATTTTTCAATATTCTTTTCGCTTTCAAAGAATACCACCGTACTCATTTGTTCTGAAATTGTGCAAAAAATTTTCTTGTGAGGTTTTTCAAAGTTTGAAAATTTGTAGTTTTCTCTTTGAGAGAGTGTTCTCAAGAATTTGGGGTATAATTCTTGAGAGAGTTGTAAGGTTACACCTTGTCCTCAAAGGTTAATACAAATTAGTGAATTTTTGAAAACCCTTAGTGTGGATAGATAAGGTAGTGGATGTATACTTTGATTTAGAAAGTCGAATCACTTTGAAATTTTTGTGTTCAATTTCCTATTTTTCTTTCAAGCTTCCACCAAAAATTTTAATTATCAATTCAACCCCTCTTGGTTATTTCATCCTCTTGATTGACTCAATAGAAATATTAACATTTTTTTTTAACATTATCACGTTATCAATTTAATGGATACGACGGTAGAGTGATCATTTTGTTACAAATCGATAACGTTAGTGATCATTCTGTTACAAATAGATAAAATTAACGATCGATTTGTTACTTTTAAAATTTATTGGAAAAAAACGAAAACTTACTCAAGTGTTAGTGACCAATTTGTAGTTTACCCTAAAAATCTTAGCTAAAAGTTTTCACGTTTTCTTTTCCATTCATTCCGATGATAACGTTTCTAATTCCTTGATGAACTTCAACTCCCGCAGCTGATTTTACTCTTTTTTAACTCTCTGCTGTTGCCCTCCGATCCAAGAAGAGAACGCTAACATGGCGATCTCCGTTCAAAACATCGTCAAAGAACGAAAATTTCCTTTCATTTTCGCTTTTACCTTTCTCCTCATTTCCTTCGCAGTCCTCCTCTTATCCAACTCCTCCTCTTTCTCTTCCCCTCTCACTTCACTCCTCGTCTCCACCGACTTCCACGTCACCACTTCTCAACCTCCGCCGCCGCGATCCCCCAACGTCGCAGCCTCGGTCTCATCGCAGACGGACGATGCCGCTTTTTCGAAAACGACTGCCATGGCAGCTGGCGACGTGGACTTGAATGTGAGTTTGGATATAAAATGGGAGAACTGTAAATTAGGTGCGCTGGCGGTGGATTATATACCGTGTTTGGATAATTGGCAAGCGATCAAGGAATTGCGATCGAGGCGGAGGATGGAGCATAGGGAGAGGCATTGTCCGGATCCGAGTCCGAGATGCTTGGTGCCTTTGCCGATTGGTTATAAGGTCCCGGTTCATTGGCCCAAAAGTAGGGAAATGGTGAGCTTCAGCTTTTATATTTTTTGGTAAGATATTTGTTTTTTTTGTTCGTGTTGTTATTTAGATTGTAGTCCCGTAATTTTAGTGCCAAAAGTGATCTATAAAACTGAAAATTTTAATGATACAATTCTTAAACTTTAGTGAACTTCTTTCTAGAAAATATTATTATAGTTTTTGGTGATGGTGATTTTGAACATTTTGTTTCTTTAATATTAAGTATGCCGAATTTCTACTATTTCTATATTATTCCCAAGTTCAATTTTTTCTTGAAGTATCAATGTCCGACACACACACACACACACACACATATATATATACTTGGAAGAAAATGAACCTTTTCATTTAGGGCGCATACACATATTCAACAGTCACAATCAAGTTCGACTAACATAGCCTATTATGTGTGTGGAGTCAAATACAAAGAATTGAAGTCCGATATTCATCTGGGATGGGAGAAGCTAGGTGCTAAAAGTTGTTGTACGAAAGAAGTTCCTCATGCCTAAACATTTCTAATGCTGTTTTACTTGCTGAATATGTGGCTTATATAACATATTCGTGCTCTTTGTAGATTTGGTATAGTAATGTTCCTCATCCTAAGCTTGTAGAATACAAGAAGGAACAGAACTGGGTGCGTAAATCTGGTCATTATTTTGTTTTCCCTGGCGGTGGTACTCAATTTAAGAATGGTGTTCATAGCTATATCGATTTCATACATAAGGTATGTACTGGATTTTTCCAATCCTTTTACAAGTTAACATTTGATTGCTGATTTGTTCTCTGCTCTTGGCTGAACAGTATACCCGAACACTTTTATTCAGTTCCTTTTGAGCCTTCTTCTCTCTCTCTCTCTCTCTCTCTCTCTCTCTCTCTCTCTTCTCTCTCTAATGGTTTGTTTTTCCTTCCAGACTTTCCCAGCTATTAAATGGGGGAAGAATATTAGGGTTATTTTAGATGTTGGCTGTGGTGTTGCTAGCTTTGGTGGTTATTTGCTCGACAAAGATGTAATCACCATGTCATTTGCCCCTAAGGATGAACACGAAGCTCAGATACAGTTTGCTCTAGAGAGGGGAATTCCTGCTATACTCTCTGTCATCGGTACACAAAAGCTGACATTCCCGGACAATACATATGATTTAATACATTGTGCCCGCTGCAGAGTTCACTGGGATGGGGATGGTATGATCTCTTTTATCAATTCCTATCAGCATATGTTTGACCATATTGTTATATTTATTTTCCTTGTTCCAGCTTTCCTTTCTTCGCATGTCATAGAATTATTGACACTTTTCCTGTTTTGGAATGCAAAATTCAGGTGGGAAACCATTATTGGAGCTGAACAGGATTCTCAAGCCAGGAGGATATTTTATATGGTCTGCCACACCAGTATATCGAGATGATGAGAGAGATCGTAAAGTTTGGAACTGTGAGATTACCACTCTTACTTTCATGGGGAGATACAAAATTGTTCTCCCTTCAGATTTTCCTTGTTCGTCATTTATTTTTGTTTGCCCATTTTTAGAATCTACATGTGCTAAGCTGTTCAATATTCTGTATTTATTTCAGCAATGGTGGCTTTGACAACAGCCATATGCTGGAAGATTGTGGCTAAAACTGTTGATTCAACTGGAGTTGGGCTCGTAATATATCAAAAGCCTTCCTCGTATTCTTGTTACAAACAGCGCAAAGAAAAACTTCCAACCTTGTGTGAACAGAAAACCAAACATAATGTGTCCTGGTAAGCTTTCGATAGTATTATCCATATATGCACAGGTTTAATATTTTATCTTCCACTTCCTATGTTTAGACTGAAGCAATTTATACTGGAGAGTTGTCTTAAAATAATATCCACATATATTGTTTTAGCTTCTTTCCGTTGAAATTAATTCTAATTTTGTCTATTGATTGTGACAGGTATGAGCCTCTCAGTCATTGTATTTCGCATCTTCCAGTCAACAGCGTGGGTAATTTGCTCAGATGGTCCACACCATGGCCCCAGAGGCTTAGCAGTAAGCCTCCAAGCCTTCCATCTGAACCTGATGCTGAAGATATATTCAACGAGGACACCAAACATTGGGCGGCACTTGTATCGGATGTGTATCTTGATGGACTGGCTATAAACCTGGCACGGATAAGAAATGTGATGGATATGAATGCTGGTTATGGAGGGTAACAAATTTAACAACTTTTTAATTCTTTTTTATGTGAAAGGAAAACATTGAACAGATGTATCAAGTTGAATTTACTCTTGTAAGAGTTCTCACAACACTCATGTTGAAATTCTTGTTTGCAGATTTGCAGCGGCGCTTAATGAGCAACCTCTCTGGGTGATGAATGTTGTACCAATTCATGCACAAGATACCTTGTCCATTATTTTCGAAAGGGGGTTGATCGGAGTCTATCACGACTGGTGTGAGTCTTTCAATACTTACCCTCGAACATACGATCTACTGCATTCAAGCTTTCTCTTCAAAAACCTAAAAGATAGGTACGCTGTTGAAATAAACACTTGAGCACAACTGATCTAAATTTTACATATAATTTTGAAGTTATTCGATTTATGGCTGAATGGTTGTTGGACATTTTGCCTCAGATGTGACATAATCGATGTAGCTGTGGAAATTGATCGTATAGTGAGACCCGGTGGATATCTTTTGGTCCAAGACACCATGGAAACGATTAAGCAGCTCAATCCGATACTCCGATCACTTCACTGGTCGACAACTCTTTACCAAGGCCAATTTCTTGTGTGCAAGAAGGGCTTTTGGCGTCCAAGTGAATGATGACATTCTTCTTCCACTCCCGATTTGTTGTCGATCGTGATTTGCCTTTTAAACCATCGATTATATAGCTTCTGCATCGAAATCCGAAGTTGCAACATTCAAATTTACCTTAAATTCAAGTATCTGAGTATGCTTGGCCATCCAAAAACAACAGGTTCAGGAGATGTTTCGGACAACTACGATACACGGATGCGAAGTGAGCGTTTTATTCGAAACGGGTATAAATTTCTATATATTCAGAGGATTATAATCCTGTATTTATGTCCAAATATGTATCGGATATTTTTTTTTTCTTAACAAAATGAGAAGCGAAAATAATGTAAGATGAATAGGCTGTTGAGCTTGAAAAGAGAAAATTATGGCAAATGGTTAAGTATGTATTCTTCAGGTTTTAGTTAAAAAATTGATAAAGGTTCACTTTAGAAGCTTCAAAAGCTTGTAGTCGTGGGATCGAGTCTCACGGTGGACAATTCATAATTCTGACTGTCGGAGGTCTTTTACGGAAGCTGCTCGCAACCTGACGTTGGGGCAGCCTATTACCCTACCTTCCTCTTATCCCATTACATATGAGAATAGGATCAGCTAATTTTAGAAGCTTCAAAGTAGTAAAGTAATTTAGAAGCTCAAATGGTAGACTACATATCATGAATGATAATATTTTCTTATTTTTTTTCAATTGGATTTTTATTTTATCTAATAAAAATAAATTATATATATAATGTAAATTTTGACTTTTAAAATCAAATTAAATTTCAAGTCAGATGAGATTTTTTTTTTAAATCAAAACTAAATTGAATACGGGTGTAATAATCTAATTATTGAATCGGATTTGAATGACTCATAATTCAACCTAACCCATATCCAATTATCCATCCTTTTCTTTGTCCTAGGCTCAGCTCAACCGAATATGTAATTCTTGACTTGGTAGCACCAAACTCTAAAATTATCTCGGGTAAACAGTGTATTTAGTATCTAAATTATCAGTTTTAGTCTATTTTAATATCTAAATTTTCATTTTTTTAAATTATACTTAATGTTTAATTTTTATTTATTTTAGTATCCACCGTTAGAAAATTAACTCCTTTAATATCTAAACTATCAATTTTGGTTCATTTTAGTATCTAAACTTAAAAAAAAAATCAAAATTTAACGTTAAATTTTGAACAAGTAATAAACTGAGACAAAAACTAAAATTTTTAATAACTATATACTAAAATTAAATAAAAACTAAACTTTAGGTATAATTTTAAAAAGATTTAAAAGTTTAAATCCTAAAACATATTAAAATTAATAATTTAGATACTAAACATATAATTTATCCAACTAATTTATACTCATTCTGTTATCATTTTCTATCTTAATCCCTCCCAAGCCTCTAGTCACTATGTTATCATTTTTTCCCCATTTTCAATGCTAAAAACCCTAAAAACAATCACTGGCCTTAGTCCTTATCCCGTCTCAATCCACTTCAAGCCATTGTCGAATCACACTTTGACAGATTCCCACCTCAAATCCTTAGTTCTCAGTCAATACTCCCATGGAACTTTCTCCAATCTCCTCCGAAACGTCGTCGCTTCACCCTCTGTTCTTCTCACCGCATGCCAAATCTCCCATTCATCACCATCATCATCCACGACGCTTCCTACCCATGTTTCCAACTACTTCTCGATCGATGAAATGGGTCATGAGATTTCCCATAACAAGTTCTATATTCCCTCTTGCTGTGTCTGAATGGACCCGCCAAGTCCTTCAGGTGAGCCTTTGATTTTACCGAACCTCAAACTGAAAGTTCTGATCGAAGCTATTAGGATGGTGTTAGAAATCGTTTATGATGAAAAGTTTGTGACTTTTTCTTATGGGGGTCGTGTTGGAATGGGCAGACATACTGCCATTAGGTACTTAAAGAACAATGTAACAAACCCTAGCTGGTGGTTTAATGTTTCCTTTTTTCCTAACAAGTTTTATGAGTTTAATGTCGATAAGTTGTGCAGTTTATTGGAGAGAAAATTAGAGATGATTTGTTGATTGATGTGATAAAGAAGTTTCAATGTCGAGTGGTTAGAGTTGAATTTGGTGGGTGTTATTTAGGGAGAGGGCTTCCTCAAGAAAGCGGCTTGAGTTCGATTTTGATTAATGTTTATTTTCATGGGTTTGATCGAGGAATTCAAGAAATGAGGCTTCGAGTGAATTGGAGGGCCTCAAAATTTGACTTAACTGAGCATGATTTCAGTAACTCGAATGTTTTCTATAAGCCAGTGAAAGTTTATGCGGTTAGGTACTTGGATGAGATATTGGTAATTACGTCCGGGTCGAAGGTGTTAGCGAGGGAATTGAAGGACCGTGTTTTGGATGGTTTGGAACTGGATTTGGGGTTGAAGGTTGATAGAGTTAAAACAGCCGTCCACAGTGAGGTATAGGAGAAGATTATGTTTTTGGGGATGGAGCTGCAGGCTGTTCCTCCTTCTGTCTTGCATCCCCCTATGTCGGAAAAGGCAATAAGAGCGAAGAAGAAGTATCTTAGACAGAAGGAAGTTAAAACTTTAGAATTGAGGAATGCTCGGGAGAGGAATAGGAAAAAGTTGGGTTTGAAAATATTGAGTCATGTTTTTAAGAATTTGAAGCAGAGTAAAGATGGGTTTAAATCTGACTATCAAATCGACACCGAGGTTAGGGAAATCTTTAGGACTTGAGCAGATGAAGTTGTCCGAGAGTTCTTGGGGTCCTTGGAAGAAAGATGGAACTGGTATCGGCTGCTCTCTAGAGGTGATTTTTTATCTTTAAGACATATTAGAGATCAGTTGCCACAAGATCTTGTTGATGCTTATGACAAGTTCCAAGAACAAGTTGACAAGCATTTGGCCCCTACCAAAGCAAGAATGGTACTGGAGGAAGAAGAAAAGAGGGTAAGAGAAGAAGAGGAACAGAATTATTCTGAGCGCACGGTAGATGATCTGACCAAGTTATGAATGAAGGTTTCTGCTCCTATAGAACTTGTTAGGAAGGCTGTTAGAATGGCGGGTTTTACGAATAATATGGGTCGTCCCAGGCCAATCAACTTACTATTCGCATTGGAAGATGCTGACATCGTTAAGTGGTATGTGTTGGAAGTAGGGCTGTAAATGAGACGAGACAGATCGCGAGTTACTCGAGATTGACTCGATAAATACTCGAATCGAATGGACTCGACTCGAGCTCGAGTTTTTAACGAGTCTAAACGAGCTATTCGATATTCGACTCGAAAAGCTCGTGAGCAGTTCGAAAAATGTTATATTATAATTTTAGATTTTTTAAAATTACATTATTAAAAATATATTAAAAATACACTATTGATAATTATAAAATTTTAAAAATATAATAAAAATTCTATAATACAACTACCTCAAATTTTAATTAATGTTCTTGTAACGAACCCTATATCTTAAACCTTAAATCATAAATCCTAAACCATAAATTGTACTTATCTCATAAATCGATACCAATTCAATTAATTAACGTTTTTGTAATAAATCTTAAACTCTAAATTTTAAATTATAAATTTTAAACCCTAAACCTAAATTTGATTATGTGATAGGGGTTAAGTTATGCACATGAAGTTAATATACAAATTATGCAAAATGATGTTATGTGACTCTTAAATAAATCAATTGCATACTTATACATAAACATATCAACATGCAAAATAAATATACACAACTAATTAAAGAAAGCTATCCTAAATAGGGACTAAATTAAGATAAATCTAAATGTGAGGACTAATTTAAGCTAAATAATGATGATTAAATTCACGTAAATGTAAAATTAAATTTACAAAATTGGAATTAAACCAATGATTTAAATACAAAATATGCATAAATTATAGGGTCTTATATGCAATTGATCATATTCGGTTTAAGCTAAAATAATATGGAAAGTAACATAAATGACACCTGAACATTTAAAACAAATAAGAAAATTTAAACAAATGTGATTGAAATACAAAAATTAAAATATAACATACCAAACTATAAATTTATTAAACATGCATATACATATTAAACTAATGAAATGGCGACAACGACGAGTGATGGCTCTCATTAGCAAAGGTTGATTTTTGAAATGCTTTAACTACGCAAAATGCAAAGCTGTAACTCCAGAGAGAAGTTTGGGCCTATAAAAATAAATATATAAAAAGGAACTCTTATTCCTCATACGGGGAGAAAAAGAATAGACATATTAGTTAACGTTTAAGTCTGTAAGTTTACATGAAATTAACCATATGAACAGTTAATGACAATCAAGTTATATAGCTACTTCACAAACAATCAGAGTCTGATTAAGATTAAACCATTCTGGTTAAATTATATGGCAGCAAGCAACTTCCTTTTGAGGAGCTCGGGCTCGGCATCATTCGCCTTATTATGTTGGCTGCTGGCGGGAAACCATAATTCTTATTACATGTCATCTTGGAACAAAGCCTTTGAGACAGGACTAGGAGGGTGAGTCTTCATCATCAATGGTGCTTCCGTAGGGGCTTGACCGCTTCTTTTCTGTCATTGGAGTCTAACATACTGTGTCACAGCTTGCCTTGCTATGGTTTTTCTTTTTTGATAGTTTTTGAAGATGATCGGACTTGCGTTTCATTGCATTCGGCTGCTTTGGAGACCAAACTCTCTGCAAATCTGGCATCCAACTTGTAAAAGATGAAAAACGCCGAGCCCTCTCCCTCCTCTTATGAGCCTGAATCAGTTTCAATTCATGCTCCTCGGTCCTCATTACTAGGGGACTTGTTTTGTTATCATATTTTTGTAGTTGGGGGCATTCCTCTTCCATTGAATCTGATTCAGGATTTCTGATGTGTGCGTCTTCCTCTGGTTTCCCTCTCCAGGATCGGTTATTGTCCTCACTGTTCAGTACTTGGAGGCTTCAATGAAGCTTGTTTAGCAGTCTCCGATGAACAGGGTGTTGAAGAGGGTGAAGTTCTGGCCGTATATCCCACACACATCATGTGGTATTATATCTCACATCTTTAAGATAGAAGCAAGTGCTCCACAAAAGATCTTATAAATTAAATCTCAAACTCAATGGTTTAATTTACGGAGCCACGTGGTGAGCACTTGAGCTTGAATCGAGCTTGAATTGAGCTCTTGATTTTTTTTCGAGTTCGAGTCGAGTTTCAATATTATCTTTCGAGTTCGAGTCGAGCTTGAAAATTTTAGGCTCGCGAGTTTTCGAGTCGAGTCGAGATTACATTTAAAGTTTTCGAGTTCGAGTCGAGCTTGGCAATACTCAAGCTCTGCTCGACTCGTTTACACCCCTAGTTGAAAGGAGATGGCTGAATTTCTTCTGTTGTTGTCACAACTTCAGAATGGTG